TGTATCTGTTTATTTATTAAGTATTCGTATTTAAATTTCAGTAATGTAATTAATATCTTCTATTTTCCGCTATTTGATTTGTCCCAAAAGAAAAGGCGCGCAGGACCTGGAAATTCATTCACATAATCTCTTTCTAGGATTTCCTTCTCAACGCCGGTGTAATTATATCCTTGGAAAGTGTCCAGATATCCGGCGCGTGACGAATACAAAGTAAGATTCCGCGATGCGATTGTGTAACTCTTTCTTTCGTGCGAGCAAAACAAATGCAACTGGCCAAGTTGGAGGAGGTCGTCTCTCTTGAACGAGAGATCTAACGCGCTCGATCGTGGGCGCGTTGCGATGCAAATGAGGAAGAGAGAACGAATTGTTTTGCGAGCGACGCGTTCTCGGACGGTCTTGAGATTTTCGCGTGCACCGCGGTGCAACGCGTGACACATCGGCGGGACGGCTCTCGCGCCTCGCGTCTTCCTCGATAACGAGCGATATGAACCTTCCTCATGACGCATCCCGCGAGCGATGCTAAACCGCGATATCGTTCGCGTTACCGATAAGATTGGAATTTCAGGAGGGATAAGAAGGGATCTTTTCCAACGAGGAATCCGTTGAGTTTTCCCATAAATAACGCGGTATAAGAGAAAGCGTGATTCATTCTTTGGCGCTCCGAAAGACTCTCGTCGTCGGAGAATTGAAGATGATAAGATTTATTGCGGGATGGGAACAAGTAAATAATAATGGAAAATATGTTTCGGATTAAAATTTAAATTCTTCCCCTTGAAAAGTATCCTTAAAGAACCTACGCCCAGCGAGAAATGACTCGGTGGTCGACGTCTATTTGCCAGTGTCGATGTCGATTGGACGTCGGTTCGTACACAAAAGCCACATAATATGTAATATACATAATTTATATATTACACAAATGTTTTTACGAATTGACAGTTCTAGGAGCAAAAGGTGCCAAAAGTGCACAATCACTCCAGAGCATCCCCTGAAACCTAATCCACTCTTTGCGTCTAGGAACATCCTATTTTGTATGTGCAAATGAAAACGCTTGAAAAATGTATTTATCAACGACGCAACATTTGTACAGCGTGCAATTGAACAACTTGCGCGAATTTCGTAAACGTATTTATTGGCAAAACGAAATGTTTCGCAAAGTGCATTGTAGATAAGGTCTTGCACGCGAGAGAAAGAGCGTTTCACCGCGAGAATTCACCGAGCTCCCGCACGTCCTATTCTTATCTCGCGGTCCCTTTCGACCCCTTCTCGTCTTGGAATGCGTCCAGATATCCGGCGGATGACGCGTACGAGGCCAACGTTCGGCGTCGCGCGGTTTCTACGTCTCAACGACGGGACGCTCGCGGGCTCGGACGGCGACGGATACGTTCCTGAGCGGCGGCGGCGGCGGCGACGAGGCTGCGGCCTGCTCGGGGTCTCGCTCGCCTAGTTTTCCGCGAACGCGAGACACACGTAACCTCGTAATATACATATATACACGCGTCCATACTCGCCGTGCATAACAATCCGAGTTACGGAGCACGCATTCCTCCGCGCCGCGTCCGAGCGTCCGACCACCTGTCGAAAAGCGTGGCGAGGAGAGCGGGAGGGGGAGGAGAGAGACAACGACGAGGGAGGGGGGTGGGGGGGGAGGGGAGCGCCGTTACGACGTTTCCGTCGTCGCGACATCGCCGCTCGCGCTTACCTGTCACCTGAACGTGCGTCGGGCTCCACATTTTGCGATTTCCCGCAGCCGCTCGCTCGCCGACTCGCTGCCGCCTGGCCGTGGCACTCGTCTCGATTCTCGGCGCGGATACTCGACGACGACTACGACGACGCTCGGGCGACGACGCGCGGCGCGCTACGAAGAAACGTTCGCATCACGCGGTCGTGCCTCGCGCACTGGCCAACCGCCACGCTCGCTCGTCCGCCCGGACTCCGACTCCGCCGCGCTCCTCCGGCTGCTCCGAGAGAACCGAGAGAGTCACGTTCACCGCGCGCGCGCCTCGCTCCGCGACGACTGTGACGCGGCGCGCGCAACCGCGCCTTTGAACAACCGCTATGCGCGACCGGCGCGCCAGGTGCGGACCGAACGGGACCCACGTTGCGGCGCGGCTACCTTCACGCGGCTGCCCGCCGTTTAAATCACAGATTTCTACTAGGCCGGTATTCATAGTCCATTTTGAGCAACACACATACCACATGTACTGTATGTGTGTGTTGCTCACTATTATTTCTTATTAGACTTACAAACTTATAGCGTTTTCGATTTGCCGACTCGACCCGACTCCGAGTCAGAAAAGTTTGATCAAGAGTAAGATTTTTGTAGAAATTGTGGTTCAAATCTTGCTTTTGATCAAACTTTCCTGACTCGGGGTCGGGTCGAGTCAGAAAATCGAAAACGCTATTAGTTTCAGTCATGTCATATTGTTCTTTAATTTAGCCGGAATAGCAAGCTGCTTTCGATCATCTGTACACGTGCCATTTAATTTGTGTATTACACAAATCTTTCCACGAAACAGACAGTTTTAAGTGCAAAAGTGCGAAAGTGCACAATCACTCCAGCATCCCCTTAAGAGTATACTTAAGATGATGTTAAATATAAGAACGGACTATGAATACCGGCCATAGTCAGTTCTTATCTTTATATAAACAATTAAATTTTAACTAGGTCCTTTAAGATATAAATCAATTTGAAACGTAAAAGTCATTTAGGACCTGGCACAGGTGGAGCTGGCCAATTAAAATTCACTTAGTAATTTAATCGGCCACCTCCACCTGTGCCAGGTCCTAAATGGCTTTTACGTTTCACATTGATTTATAATCTTTATATACTCTGTGGCCAATAAAATGTTCCATACAACATCATTAGATAAATCCAAGCCGGTCTTCACTGAAAGAAAAGTATTCTATTTTTGAGTGGTTCCCTCTTGATGTTAGAGGATTTTACTATTAAATACGGCCTCAAGAAGATAGTCTAAAATGTAGAGGAAAATCCTATTACACTGAGGCATGAAAGTTTAACTCGTAATCCTCTTAATGCTAGAGGAATCTTTTCTTCTTCTAATATGCAAATATTCTTATTTTTAGTATTTATATATTTCTTTTAAAACGAGTATCCTCTTAATTGCTAGAGGAATCTTTTTGTGGCAGTTGCAACGCGCGATCCGGCACAAATTGGCAATCCGGCACTACGCGACACGCGCGCGGGCGCCAGCTTCTGAGTATTCACCAGCAACCGCCGCTAGGCCGCGTATAGTGATGGTCAAAAACTCGGATCAGAATTGACCAGAATTCACTCTCGCGGGCCTCCTTTTATACCCTACGAGACTGAATTTTGCTTCCGAGTCTTTGGCCGCCACCATGCGCGGCCTAGCGGCGGTCGGTGAACTACTCAGAAGCTGGCGCACGTGCTGCGACTCGCGTGTCCGCGAATATCTTGCGTATCTCCTCTTATTTCAAGAGGCTAGTCGTATTAATGTAATGGAATTGTCTATACAGGAAATTAATCTTAATTCTAACTTATGAGTCTACTCTTTTATAGATGATATGTGTTAAAGTAAGTGAGAAATGCTTCATATAAGATTTTTTGCTTAAAGGAAATGCTTAAAGGATTTCCCGCTTATGAATAGAACATTTTTTTTTGGGTGTTGAACGTAAACTCTGACTATGAATACCGGCCCTAGACTGCTACCTTCGAGCTGAAAAGTAAGGCGAGAGTTCCGCCATGTCGATGCACACATACTGCTTTATTTACCTATCAAGGCATGGCGGAACTCTTGCCTCACCTTTCGGCTGGAAGGTAACAATCTAGTAGTATATAGAAGTCTGCGGTTTAAACGTTTCTATTCACTCGTACTCGCTATAACGTTATACTTTCCGCATTTGAAACGCAGACGAGTTGTACAATGCGATACCGCGGAGACAAAGAGATAAGAAGAAAGGTTCAACTACATAATAAAATATTCCCTAGGAAGTTTTTAATAGATTCGGCGTCCTCGTGTACGCGATGAAAGATGCATCGGGACGATAATTTCAAATATTAAAGTATACACGCGTGTTATAGTTTTAATTGCGTAGCTTTGGCCTTCGTACCAGATTTCCCATTCATCTCTCATGCGTCTGATTAACCGTATCCTGAACGAAGCGTTAATTAACCCATTCGCAGCCTGCGATAAGTCACATCGATAAGAATTACGTTGGCACAATCGTGAGAAACTTCGTGCGTCTCGTTATTAAAGATCACCGTAAAAAAAATAATCTTTTTAATAAAATTTTTAAATTTAAAACATGGAGCTACCAATAAGTGTATTTAGAGAGGAAAGTCCCTTATTATAAGACAGCGGACTTTCTGCTGTTCCACTATGAATGTATTGTCTCTGGAGTGAAATTTCTGTTTAGTACATTGACAAAAAAACTTGTTTAAACTAAGTAAATTAATTTACTTAAAATTATTTTTTTATGGAAATAAATATTTATTCTATTTAAATAAAATAAGTAAATCTATGTATTACATTAAGTAAATTAATTTAAATCATTACACTTCCTACATTTAAATACATATTTCGTGAGATATAGAGTACTGCTTATTAAATGAAATAATTGTTTTTGTTAAATAAGAAATTCAATTTTCTTCGCTGTAAAAATTACATCTTAGTAAACATTTTACAGAATTAAAATAAAATGTTTTAAATTTAAAATTATCTACTCTTTGATATTCAATAAATACTTAAATGAAAGCAATGTGTTTCAATTTATTTATTATTTTTTAAATTTAAGTCAATAAGCTATTAGGAGCTACCTAATAAATAATTTTCTTGAGTAAAATAATATTTTTTGGGATTGAGATATTTTTCATCAGTGTAGAAAATTGATTGTTAGATCGTGTATTCGTTGCGAAAAAAAATTTGTGATTAAATTTGGACATTACAAACCTTCATCTCACATTGAAATCCTATCTGATAATAGAGGACTCCTCTGCACATTTTATTCCTTCCTATGTTCCTCAAACGATTCAGTTATAATTTACAATGGTGCAAACTCAACATACGTATTATCGTTAACTGAAATTTAGGGGAATAAAATCGAATAAAATTAAAGTTCTATTAACATGTCATCCGCCTTTGCCGCTGGGCAAAATGTTAGCAGCTTGTTAGCAGACTCGAATAGAATACTGCTGCAGATTGGTATCAAATTTGCATTGAGTTCGTATACTATTTGCAGAACCTGTTGACAAAATCTGATTGCCAACAGAAACCGAGCGAAATCTGTCATTTCGTAACAAACTAAATGGAATACACTATTAAAGTGGTTACGAAACGGTAGATTCTGCTAGATTTCTGCTATCACATTCCATTAGCGGATTTTCTCATACTCCTACTGACATTCTGCCGACAACAATTCAAAACGGATAAAAAAAGAGGATTGCAAAGCCTGTCTTTGACGCCGAGTTTCACGATGTTCGAAAAAATACACGTGCAGCCGTGTAACATTAAAACCAACGGCACACGGTACTATTTTTCCCACTGGATTGCTTGCGAGAATCAATAAAGATGCACCCACAGAAAAATTTTCCGGATCCAATGCTATTACACTTGAATGTATCACAAAATAGGATCGATATAGCGCCAATCATATTTATTATCAGATTATACAGGGTGTACTAAAACCACCGGAGGTCCTCTTAATGACAGATTCCTTAGAACATTTCCAGACGAAAATCCTAATACAAAAGTGTCGAGGCTATAATAGTTTTTAAATTAGAAGCGATTATTTTCCACAAATG